ATATATATATATATATATATATATATATATATGGTTTAATACGTCTTTATTTTCATAATTTTTATTTAAAGTGGATCTTGACTTTTTCTAACTTTAAAGATTGTTTCATTTTTTATAATTTTTGTTTAATTTGATTATTTTTCTCGATAACGTTTAAATTTTTAATGACATAGTATACATGCGAGCTTTAATGAATGATGTGATTGTCGTTTTTGATGTGGATGCCCATGAAAATGTAATAATTAGAGTTTTTTGGTTTTCCATTGTAATGAAGCAATTAGGGTTTTTTGGTTTTGGTTTTCAATTTGCAAGTTGTTGTTGTTTCACTGTGGTTTATAGTGGTTTTGCGTTGCAGGTGCGTGCAGAAAACAAAATTTTGTGGTTTTGGTTTCTTTTCCGATTTAGAACTTTCTACTATAGATTAATGGTGACTTGTCATGACTCTGTGTTGTTATATGGTAGTTGACGATGATAGAAGGTGCAAAAATGAGGAATCGTCAATGACAATGGAAGGAAACCATGGTGATTTGGTGGTGAGAGTTTGAAGATGAAGTGGAAAGAGATCATGCAGGTAAATAAAAATGGGTCACGTAATTCATTAAGACACATGTGAATATTATGTTGGTAACTATTTAGACGTTGTTAATGAAAATGAACAAAGTAATATTAAAATAGGTATTAAGCCTCTATGTATATATTATAACTCTCACTTTTCTTTTATTACCCACTTTTTTTTCTACTATCTTCTAATTGTTTCATTTGTTTTATAACGTAAAATTCACTCACATGTCAGAAGGATTCATTATCACAACTTTTATGTGATTGTATTCAGACGGTGTATTATTATTACAATGAATCAAAAAGTTTTTTTTATATTTTATATTTAAATATTTCTACTTATTTTAAAATTTTTATTTATTGATTATTCTTTTTATTTGAGAATGTTTGACTATTAATTTTAAGTGTTCAATTGAATACATTTTTCATTTACATTTACTATGTAATATAAAAAAACGTATTGTTTTATTTAAAGAGGTTTTTTCTATAAATTTTTTTCTATAGATATGAGTATAGAAATAAATTTTTTCTTTAAAATTAAGTACGAGATAAAGAAACTTATCACCACTATCTCATCATTAGCATCCCTAACCACTACTATTTTCGTCTAGAATTATATCAACCACTTTTGACATTTTAGAAAATTGAGTGAGAGTAAATATTTGACAAAAGGTTTCATTATTTAGTTTTTCTTTTCGTTCAAAAATGTCAAGTTGGTCATCCAGTTTTTTTTTTTTAATTTCAATTTGATTTTTGTTTCAGTAGAATTGTGTAGGTCGAGATATGTACTCAATGAATCACTTCCGCTCCTTCCCCAGATATTGCGGTTGTCGCGTCTCCTTCCTATAGAAAGCTCTTTGGGAGAAGATGAGCTGGATACCTGCAAAGACACTCCGACGCTCAAGTCAGAAAAGAATCAATCTCACTGTTTTCAGTTTACTCAAAGAAGAAGATATTACTTTCTTTCTTAATTTTCTCTCTAGGGGAAAAACGTACCTTTTTTCTCCTTTTGTTCATATATTTATCCTAGTAATAATGAACCGTTTACCTTAAATTTCGGTTGGTGGAGAATCTGGTTCTGGAGAGTATAACCGTTAAGTCGTGCTAGATACTGGGTCAGTTGACTCTGTGATTTGTGGCACTATAATTGGATATGTCTAACCGCTCTTTCAGAATTAAAATGTCCATTCGGACCGAAAATGATCGACCGCCCTTTAGATCAATCAATAGACGATCGTTAAATAATGATCGCTTACGACGGTTGATGTCAAGGGAGGCGGAGATCAATCCTAGGATGTCCTTAAACGACCGTTCCTCTAAATTAGTGTATGATCGGTTGAGGACGACCGTATGTTTGTCTGTTATCGGTGGTCGACTAAGGGGGCGATCGGTTGAGGACGATCGTATGCTGTCTATCATTAGTGGTCGACTAAGTGGGCGATCGGTTGAGGACGACCGTATACTGTCTATCATTAGTGGTCGACTGGGTTATTGATCGATCGTTGTAGGTAACCTACTATACAATTTTGATTTGTAAAAATTGATACAATTTTGTTCTAATTTGTGAAAAATGATGTAATTTGATCCTTTTCATTAAATTTTTGAAATGGATGAAGAATTTTTCATTAAGCTGTGTAATAAAAATGCTTTGTTTTGTTAGTGTAGTTAACATAATCCTAATGTTAATGTTGATGAAAAATCATTGATATGTTTCAAGAAATTTAATTGAAATGACAAAGTTACATAAATTTTAAGAATGATTTGTTATAGATGACTAACTTGACATTATTTTACGAAAACAGAAACCAGTAAATAATTGAATATTGACAAAACATGAATATATTCACAGCTGTCAATAGATAATTAAACCTTGATAAATAATAACTACTAAACAAACTGAACGCAATACAGTCATAAATATAAATATTCTAAGCCAAATTGTAGAAGGTGCAATGCACGTGGCAGGAAGGTGACAAGCTACTCACATTATGCACTCTTTATATACTTTGAAGTATATGGTTGACGCAAAGTCAATGGACCAATAAAACCACAACCCTTAAACCCAAGTCCTTTTAGACATTTTTTTTAATAACTTTTTTCTATAATTTTTTTACAACGTGTTATTAATCTGTTTTAAATATACAAACCAACAAAATAATAACATTATATATTATCATTATCAAATTGTATATTATCATTATCAAAAAAGTTATTAAAAGAATTTGTTAACATAGTCATTGTATATTATTGCAGACACTTTTCACTGCATTTCGATATTTTTTTATGCGACTGCAAGCTATACAGTATTGCTTTTTCTGGTGCCTTAGTAAATCCCTGTCTCTTCCATTAATATCGCTGTAAACTCTAATATAAATAAATGGAATAAAAAAAATATTGGAACAAAAAAAACATTATTTTTATTTATTGAACAATCATATATAATAATAACAAAAATAATGTAAAAGTTGTTTCTAGAAAAACCTAACTCAGAAAATAACTAAAGAAATTGAAACTGGAAGATAAAATTCTACAGTATTATCAGAGTTGAAATTGAGAAAAGATTTGGTTGAGTATAGAAATGGAATTGTTTTATAGAATGACAGTTATATATATATAAAATCATACAAATTTTGTAAAAATTCATTAAAATTTGTATTTATTTTTGGTTTAAACCTTTTAATGAATTTAGTTTGACCTTACAAATTAAGCAAAATAAATTAATTGACATATTTAGTATATTAATAAGTTCTTCTATTTTATTTTGTGAGTATGAGATATTAGTGACGAGAGACTGTTAGGATATATATTAAGTCAATTTGATCCAAACAGCAGCGATGGAGTACCGTGGTTTCAGTTTGAATACGTTGGGCGATCAAGTTGATATATAACGACGAAATAAAACAAATGAATCTCTTACATATATATTATTCTCTGCCATCTAATAACCACAAAACAAACTAAACACAGTAGTGTCATAATGATAAATATTCTAAGTCAAATGGGTTGTAGAAGGTGCAATGCACATAGCAGGAAGGTGCCACGCTACTCACATTATGCACTTACGGGGAACGTTCACTTCAAAAGTAGCATGATAAAACTACAACTCTTGAAAGTCTTTATATATTCTTTATCATTGCACCCACTTTTTATATATACGTTTGAATATTCTTTTCTATGCGATTGCAAGCTACACTGCATTGCTTGTTCTGGTAGTAAATCCCTGTTACTCTTCTTCCATCACCAACCACAAACCCAGTATCCAACCACAGATCCAAATCTACACGCTCGTCCACGCTATAATGGCAGACAGTGTAGTTACCTTTGTTTTAGATCACTTAGCCCAGCTTGCGGCCCGGGAAGCTAACTTGCTGTATGGCGTGGAGGATAGAGTCCAGTCTCTCCAGTACGAACTTGAACTTATCAAAGAGCTCCTCGATACCACAAAGAGAAAGAAGGGAATGGAATATACTGTATTGAAGCAAATCAGAGATGTGGCCCACTTAGCTGAGGATGTCATCGACACATTCGTGGCCAAAGTTTCCATTTACAAGAAGAGAACCATTATGGGAAGGATGCTCCGTGGCTTTGGCCAAGCAAGGTTGCTCCATCACGTAGCCGACAAAATAGACAAGCTCAAAACCACTCTCAACGAGATACGCGACAACAAGGACAGACACGATGCTTTCAAAGAAATCACTAATCAATCCGCGGTGAAAGAGGAGGAAGAGAAGGAAAGAGCACAATCACAGCTAAAGAAGCTAAGAAGAAATGTGGAGGAGGAAGATGTGGTTGGCTTTGATCAGGACTCCAAGGATATCATCAAGCGACTCCTGGAAGGTGATTCAAATCGCAAAGCAGTCTCTATCATTGGCATGGGGGGATTGGGGAAGACCACCCTTGCCCGAAAGGTCTATAACAACAGTCAGGTGAAGCAACACTTCATGTGTCGCGCGTGGGTTTATGTGTCAAACGAGTGCAGAGTTAAGGAGCTTTTGGTCAGCCTTCTTAAGCATTTGATGCCAAATTTTAAACAGCAAAGCAAAGGCAACAAAAAAGGTAAGAAAAGGGATGGAGACATTAACAGCCTGAGTGAGGAGGAGCTGAAGGAACAGGTGCGGAGCTGCTTGGAGAGGAAAAGATATCTTGTGATAGTAGATGATTTGTGGAAAAGGCAAGATTGGGACGAGGTGCAAGACGCTTTTCCGGATAACAACGGAGGGAGCAGAATATTGATCACTAGTCGTTTGAAAGAAGTGGCCTTGCATGCTGGTGATGATGTTCCTCACTATCTTCAATTCCTAAATAATGAAGAAAGTTGGGAGTTGTTTCGAAGGAAAGTGTTTAGGGGTGAAGACTATCCTTCTGATTTGGAGCCTTTGGGAAAACAGATGGTTCAAAGTTGTCGTGGTTTGCCACTCTCCATCATTGTCTTAGCAGGGCTGCTAGCCAACAAGGAAAAGTCACGTAGAGAATGGTCTAAAGTGGTGGGTCATGTTAATTGGTATCTTACCCAAGATGAGACCCAAGTGAAGGATATAGTTCTGAAACTCAGCTATGACAACTTGCCAAGGAGATTAAAACCATGTTTTCTCTATCTTGGGTTATTTCCTGAAGACTTTGAAATCCCTGTTACGCCATTATTACAAAAATGGGTTGCGGAGGGTTTTATACAAGATACAGGAAATAGAGACCCAGATGATGTTGCGGAAGACTACTTGTACGAGCTCATTGATCGCAGTTTGGTTCAAATAGCAAGATTGGAGAGTAATGCAGATGTAAAGATATGTCAGGTTCATGATCTTCTTCGAGATCTTTGCATATCAGAGAGCAAAGAGGACAAAGCTTTTGAAGTTTGCACAGACAATAACATTCTAGTCCCGACAAAACCTCGCAGGCTGTCCATTCACAGTAAGATGGATCACTACATTTCTTCAAGCAACAATGACCATTCATGTATCCGTTCTCTGTTCTTCTTTGGCCCAGATTACGATGTTCATAAGAGGGAGTGGAAATGGCTTTTGAAAGACTTCAAACTCGTTCGAGTGTTAGAGCTCGCACCAAAAAGCCGTGGAAAGATCCCTTCTAACATCGGGAACTTTATGCATTTAAAGTACTTGAGAATAGACTCACAGTATATCACATTTGTTCCAGATTCAATACTTCACCTTTGGTCTCTACAAACCATAGACCTTGGCCCTTGGAGTCGGAACGTTTCAATTTCTTTTCCTGTCCAAGTGTGGAAACTCAAACATTTAAGACATTTGAGTACACGGGGGCCTATTAAGTTGCGAGGCAGTTGTTTGGGATCATGTGAGAAGATGTGCAATTTACAAACTATCTCTCCCCTTGTACTCAATAAACAAGCAACATCTCTGATAGAGAAAGGGACATTCCCCAATATTAAGAGAATAGGGTTGAGCGTGGTTTTTGGTAAAGGTCAATTATCCAAACTGTTGCAGAGCTTACAACTTTTAAGGTATTTGAATGAGTTCGTGATCGTCCTCCGAGATAAAGTTTATGGCAATTTCGTAACAGTCCATGAGGGTGTGGAAAGGAAGAATGGTTGTAAGCCGCAAGAACTATTTCAAAGTCTAGGGCAATTTAATTGTCTAACTGTCTTAGAGATTAATAACGTTATAGACCTTCTAACTTGTGCACTCACACTTCCTTCAAACGTTACAGAGTTAAAATTGGCAGGAATTCGCTGCATTAGTGACGAGGGGATGAAGGGTTTGGGAAATCACGCCAGACTCAAAATTTTGAGGCTTTTTGGATTTATGATTTTTTCGACTCTGAATTCCTATGACCTTACTTGTGTTGGAGGCAGCTTCCCACAACTAGAAGTATTTCAAATGGAATTTTTGAAAATTGAAAAGTGGAATTTAGGCAAAGGTGCAATGCCAAAACTTCAAAGTCTGGTGATAAACTTTTGTGGAAGGTTAGATGATCTCCCAAATGAACTCTGGTCATTGAGTGACTTGAAAAAAGTACATGTAACGAAACCCTCGAGACAAATGATTGGCGTCTTACAAAATTTGGAAATCAACAATGCAGTTCAACTCGTCACAGAAGATCTTCCACCTTGGATGGATGAGACGGATTGGGAAGTTTTCGAGTATTTGATGGAAGGCTAATGACCCTTAGTTTGAAGGGGCTTAGGTCCTCGGTTAAGTGGAAGCAATGAGTGAGAAACTGACACATGTAATATAATAGTAAATGTCAATGTTTGATGTGGCATTAATGTTTTCATGTTTCATTGGACCCGTAGAAGAGGTAGATGTATACAGAGTCAAATATGTGGTAAATACATTTCAAGCACAGGGCAGTAATGACGATGTGTTAGGGTGCAATAGATGTCTTTTATATGAATTGATTGAGAAACTTCTCCCAGAATCCATTAACAAAGTGTTTTTTTAGGATGTTAAGTTTTTGAATCTGAATTGAGCAGAGAAACAGAATTGTTGGAGGTTGTCGGAGTTACCACTGTCCCTTGGATTTTCTGCAAGCAGGGAAGAAGAAAGACAACAATTTTAGGAGAAGACTTTGTCATGAGTTGGTCACCTTAGTCCATATCGAAAAACAAGGTATGGTGTTGGTCATAAATATAGTTTGATTATTGAATTTGTAATGGTTTTGGCGAAATGATTGTTAAGTGTGTTATTGACGTTTTGGTTGAAAAGAATTAGTGAACAAGGCCTCTGTCATAGTTTGTAAGAACATTGTTCTCCCACAAACTTCAATTCCCCAACATTGATGTTTCACCATTCTTGATTAATCGATCCACATAATAAGGTTGTGAGTGAAAACATGAGATATCCTTTTATACACGTTTTGTTGGTATAAGAATTCCATCATATGTTGGTGGAGGATGTATGGCTAGTAAAGTCCTCGTTAACATTGAAGGCATTTTCTTTTTTATTTTTTCTTCTTTATTTAGTATTATTTGTCAATGGTTATTATGGAACGTAAAGTAGCCCCTTCATACTTGGTTTCTCCCACTAACTTTTATTACTTTCCCTAATGGATTGAACGAACATTGTAGCCTTTACCAAAAATGGTTTGATGTCATTGTTATTCGTTTTATAAATAATGGTGAATGCTATTTATTGTAAAAACTCTGCAGAAAAGCAGTGTCAAATAGTATTGCTATTTCAGGATTTCCTGGTGACTGTTTATAATTGTTCTAAAGCTTATATATACCAATAAGGTTGTTGTAATTCTGCGTTTGATGTATGAATATTGGGTGTTATTGATTTGCTTAGAATCTGTCTGGAATATAGTAAAATTAATGTGGAAGCATGAGTGATTTTACATAAATCTTTGCTAGTTTTGAACATAGAAATTGGAATCTTTGTATGGATGTTTGATGTGATCTGAGTATGTTGAATGTGGTTGTTATAATGCCTGGACTAGTTCGGACTAGTAAACGGTTGAATGCTAGCAGTTTCTATAATTTCTTAAGTTTGGTTTTCTGGAAATATTGGCAATGGTTGAATGCATAAGTAGTAAAACAGATTATTGTTTCTTTTTTCTGGTGCATCTGGTTACTGCAGTGTGTAAGTTTCACTGGTCGGTGGAGTTTGATTAAACTTTTGAGCAATTGCAATGTGATTATAATGTTGTAATGTGAATTCTGGATTAATAGGATATATATATAAGGATGGTTGATGAGCGTGTATGTTTAGTTGGTGGTAATGTACATTCAATAATGTTTTATTTGTTATGTTGAGTTGGTGGGATTGTACAACTGTAAATCTGGAATGGATGTATGGTTAATTGGATTTTTGTTTAGAATGAAAAAGGATTCCTGGATTTCATATAATAGATTATAAATTAGATACACTGCCCAATAATGTATGTTTTAATTTATATTAGTTAAGTGGTAAAATTTTGCCTGTTGTTGTAGGAAGGAAAACTTAGGTCCTCCACTATGACGGTGCTCAACGAATGGCAACAGACCAAGTTACTTTCTTGAGAAGATCATCATTAGAGTTAACTAGTGAACAAGGTTATATATTGATTCTATTGGGATTTATAGTTTATTTAACAACTAGGAAATTACGAGTGGTTTTGATTTTTGTGTACATTTTAATGTTATTAGACAATTTAATATATGAAATTAATTTCATTTTGTTTGTTTAATTGAATATGTTCATTTTAGAGTATATTGATTGGATGTCAAATATTAGCACGATTTAAAAAAAAAGTTTTTATAACGTATATTATAATATGTTACATTCTGAAAAGCATATATTATCACAAATGAACAATTATCTATCATAATACATTCAACCTATTATAATAGGTAAAAATATTTACGTCATAAAAATCACATATTATGACAAGTAAATCCAACAACATCACAATAAATTAGTCATGACTAATAAATGAAATCCTGTCATATAGATTAGACATATTAGGACACATGACAAAAAGTACATCATAATATACTAAATTTATTATGACGTACTTTTCTGTTATGTTATAAAAATCACATACCTATTATGATAGTCAGAACTATGACGTTAATCCACTTGTCATAATAAGTTATTTTTATTCGTGATAAAAAGAAATTACTTTTGCATTAGTGAACATGGTTAATTCAGTAAGCTCATGCTAGTTTATTAAATATTTATAATGTTGGTAACAAAAATAATGGTGAAGAATAAATGAATGCTCATTTATAGGAGATGATATATGAAATTGATCTATCTTTTTTTTTCTTTTTGACACATATTTATTTAAATAAATAATTATTATTTTAACATACATAGAATATCTGGATTGATATAGTTTTGTTTTTTTAATCACAATTTTTGGATTTAAGTCAAAATGAATTTTATTTTTCTTAAATTCTAAGGTTTACGTTTATTAATACTATATTTAACACAAATTTATTTCAATTAATATCACATCCAACATAAATTTAACTCTAGTTAAACTACATCCAACCTAAAATTTAGGATTACAATAAGAAAAACTCATTCTTTATGTTTTTCTTCCGTGAATTCGTTGTCCAAGTTAATGAATTTTGTGTTTTACGAGTTGGATGTTCCGTAGACCTTTAATATGACATAAGTTGATTGAAAAAAAATGGCACAAAATTCATCTTTTACACCTTGTTCACTTAAATAGATTTTGAGGAGAATGATTAAATGAATTTGAGAAAATTTGAAGGTAAAGTTCTTTGTTGTTTATTTGAGTGAATTTGAAGGTAAGTGAGAGTGAATTTGGAAGTAAATTTTTTTAATCTATCATATCAATCAAATCTCACACTAATTCTCACAAACTTTACTTTCAAATTCACTCTTACTTGTCTCCAAATCCACTCACAAAAAGTTTTACTTTCAAATCTTCTCAAATTATTTTCTCTTAAATTCATTCAAGTAAACAAAATTTTACGGTAGTCATTATAATAAATTTTAAATTAAAACATTCACTGGTATTTCGGTTGATCTTATTCGCCTCTTACGTTCATTTATTTACATATATGAAACTGTACAATAGTCGTTCGTTTATTATCATTTTCTCATTTATATATTTTGATATTGTATTTGTCATTATGAGAGATATTAGTGATGAAAAATTTTAACATATATATTTAGTCAATTTGATCCAAGTGGCAGCGCAATATGTATTTAAAGTATACAAACCGGAGGTTGGAGTGGCGTGTTTGCAAACTGAGGACAGTTATATAAATATATAAAAAGAGGTTGGAGAAGTGTGTTTTCAATTTTAATTAGTATGGACGTTGAAGTTGATATATAAATATTCTTAGTCAAATGAGTTGAAGGTACAGTGCACACACACACATGCATATATATATATATATATATATATATATATATANAGCTTACAACTTTTAAGGTATTTGAATGAGTTCGTGATCGTCCTCCGAGATAAAGTTTATGGCAATTTCGTAACAGTCCATGAGGGTGTGGAAAGGAAGAATGGTTGTAAGCCGCAAGAACTATTTCAAAGTCTAGGGCAATTTAATTGTCTAACTGTCTTAGAGATTAATAACGTTATAGACCTTCTAACTTGTGCACTCACACTTCCTTCAAACGTTACAGAGTTAAAATTGGCAGGAATTCGCTGCATTAGTGACGAGGGGATGAAGGGTTTGGGAAATCACGCCAGACTCAAAATTTTGAGGCTTTTTGGATTTATGATTTTTTCGACTCTGAATTCCTATGACCTTACTTGTGTTGGAGGCAGCTTCCCACAACTAGAAGTATTTCAAATGGAATTTTTGAAAATTGAAAAGTGGAATTTAGGCAAAGGTGCAATGCCAAAACTTCAAAGTCTGGTGATAAACTTTTGTGGAAGGTTAGATGATCTCCCAAATGAACTCTGGTCATTGAGTGACTTGAAAAAAGTACATGTAACGAAACCCTCGAGACAAATGATTGGCGTCTTACAAAATTTGGAAATCAACAATGCAGTTCAACTCGTCACAGAAGATCTTCCACCTTGGATGGATGAGACGGATTGGGAAGTTTTCGAGTATTTGATGGAAGGCTAATGACCCTTAGTTTGAAGGGGCTTAGGTCCTCGGTTAAGTGGAAGCAATGAGTGAGAAACTGACACATGTAATATAATAGTAAATGTCAATGTTTGATGTGGCATTAATGTTTTCATGTTTCATTGGACCCGTAGAAGAGGTAGATGTATACAGAGTCAAATATGTGGTAAATACATTTCAAGCACAGGGCAGTAATGACGATGTGTTAGGGTGCAATAGATGTCTTTTATATGAATTGATTGAGAAACTTCTCCCAGAATCCATTAACAAAGTGTTTTTTTAGGATGTTAAGTTTTTGAATCTGAATTGAGCAGAGAAACAGAATTGTTGGAGGTTGTCGGAGTTACCACTGTCCCTTGGATTTTCTGCAAGCAGGGAAGAAGAAAGACAACAATTTTAGGAGAAGACTTTGTCATGAGTTGGTCACCTTAGTCCATATCGAAAAACAAGGTATGGTGTTGGTCATAAATATAGTTTGATTATTGAATTTGTAATGGTTTTGGCGAAATGATTGTTAAGTGTGTTATTGACGTTTTGGTTGAAAAGAATTAGTGAACAAGGCCTCTGTCATAGTTTGTAAGAACATTGTTCTCCCACAAACTTCAATTCCCCAACATTGATGTTTCACCATTCTTGATTAATCGATCCACATAATAAGGTTGTGAGTGAAAACATGAGATATCCTTTTATACACGTTTTGTTGGTATAAGAATTCCATCATATGTTGGTGGAGGATGTATGGCTAGTAAAGTCCTCGTTAACATTGAAGGCAT